GAAACTGACTGTCCATCTATTGACTGTGATGCTATTTTTCTTACAGTAGTCAGAGAGTAAAAAGAAGGTTCCATTCATTACATCAATCCCCCTTATCTGTGGAGGGTATGTTTCAAGATCTCCAGTGAATGCCTCAAACTGCTGAAAGTATTGCACCCTCTATATACCATGTATTTTCCTATACATACATACCTATGATAAAGTATATTGTTATAACTGTATAAGAAAAGTTACATGAATGTGGTCTCTCAAAATATCTTACTGTACTGTGCTCACCCTTCTTGTGATAGAAGGGGATAAAATGCCTGTGTGATGGGATTAAGTGAGGTAAATGTGACATACTTAGGCTACTACTGACCTCCTGACGATGTAACAGGATGATCTGCTTCTGGACCACAGTTGACAAGGAACTAAGACTGTGGGTAAGGAAGAACTACTTTTCTATAGTATATTGTAGGGTTTTTTTTTTTTTGTACTTTTGGAGTTAAAAATATAGCAAGAAATATTTTTGGTAAAGTCCACCGTTTAGACTTTAAATATTTGGCCACCTAACAATGTGCCTGGCAGTCATCACTAGGTTGAGGAAGATAGCAGAACAAAAACAGACAAAATCCCTAACAGAGCTTACATTCTGGGATAGGGTTGAAGAAGAAACAATAAATATTACATGCAAGTTGTATAATATTGAATATGCCATGGCACACTCTACAATGGCAGGGCTGTTGGTATTTCATGAGGAATAGTTGAGAAAAACCACTCTAAAGTTTGACATTTGAACACTTATAGAGAAGAGGGAGCTGTATGGCATCTGAGGTAATTCTAGGCAAAGGGAAGAACAAGGCAGACATCTTAAGATGAAAGTCCCGCATGTTCAAGTCTCACCAGAGGCCTGTGTGACTGAGCTGAGGGAGCTGGGGAGTGGTGGAGCAGAATATGCTAAAGAAGCAGAGGTGGTGGGAAAAGTCATTACAGCTTATAGTTCACCTTAGTAATTTACTCTCAATGAGATGGAAAACGGTTAGGTTTGCAGTGAGGACATATCATGTGGCTTAAAAGGATTATTCTGGGTGTTGTGTATGGGACAGACTGCTGCAAAGTAAAAGCAGGGAGGACCACTGAGGAGGCTATTGCAATAATCCAAAGTGATGGAGCGTTATACCATGGTGGCAGCAGTAAATACAGGGAATAAGTAGATTGAGTAAAAATTAAAAGTAGAACTGAAAAAAAAAAAAACCTGAAAGGATTGCTGTTTAATTTGTAAGTGTGTGAAATCAAGGCTGATGCCTAGGCTTTGGGCCAGGGCAACTCAAAGGAATGTTTACATTTACTGAGGCCGAAAAGAGGTAGAGGTGTGTGTATCTGTGTAGAAATCAAGTAGGTTTTAAGGTAGCTTTTAGGTAGCCAGGTGGATAATGAGTAAGGAGCTATACAGTTTAGGAGAGATAGCGGAGGTCAGCAAATGACAATGGTTAACTATGTTCTCTTAAGCAACCAGGGCACGAAAACTCCAGTTGTTTGGTCTTGACACTATTCAAATTTAACATACCAACAAGGTACTGAGGTATTTAAGAGGCTCACACAATAGTATGCACAATGAAAATGAATTATTTCATAAAACCATTTTCAGTACAGGAAAACTGATGGCTCTTAAAATTTTTTAAATTTCATCCAGAAATAGTGCACAATTTGGATAACTGACAATGGGATCTTAACTAAAATTCCATGTAAAAGAGCAATTACTAGAAATAGTGTGCCGGAGTTAAAATTCATAAAAAATTCTCCAAAATGGAAAGTATCAAATAGTTATAGGGTAGCAGGAAAGAATGCAAAATTCTCATTACTGGGGACCTAAAGAAAACAATCTTCCTAGCCTTTCTAGAAAACAGTTCTTTTACACAGTTCTTCCATAACTTTTTGGGGGGTTGAGGGTGCAGGGGTGGTCATGCTTTTAAATCCTGTTTCCAAATACCTTTACAACTTATATTACATTGGGGCTGTTGAAAGCTTTAATAGCTACTTTTGAGTATGTTCAATATATGCTAAATCCAGTGAACACTGCAAACACCCTAAACATGAATCCTTACCCTTTCACTAAACCCCCTCCCCCCCCAAAAAACCAAAAAACTACTAAGTCATTTTAGGCCACAGAATGAGACCAGTGTTCAAATCCTTGCTCAGCTTTTCAACCAACACTTGGCCAACTTTTGTACCTGGTTACTCTTTAAATACTACTTGGCCATTGGTTGAGTTATATATACACAAAGCTAATAAACGTCATAAATTTGAAGGTCACTGGGTTAAACTAATTGTAGGATGTTAATATGTTAAGTAAATGTGTAAAACCACCTACATTATACTTCAAAGTGCTATAAATCTGTCAGATATAAAGTGGAAATGTAGTTATTTGGGCATCCAACATAAGTTCTCTTATCCCTATGAAACAGCAAGAGGTGTCAAATAACTATAGGGCTCAAGGACTGCTGCTGTGGGCTGTTAAGAGCTAGATTTCAGAATCACCTGGATGGCTTTTTAGAACAGAGAGCACTGGGTTTCTCAAATTTTCTCAATCAGTAGACCTAGAGTGTGGTCTGATAATTTCCATTTTAAAGAACTTCCCAAGTGATACTGATTACTAGTCTTTGAACCACACTTTTGAGAACTAGTCTTAATTCTTTATAGACCACAGTTTTATAACTGCTATTTTAAGAGGTTCAAAATAGAACTCACACAGTATTAAAGTGTGGATTTCATGTTAGCTGGAATTACTGAGACCAAAGTGTCTTTAAACACAGACTTTAATGGTAACAATTCCTTTAAGCTCAATTAACCTTAGCTATTACAAGTGTTAAGCAGATGTCACTATTAAGACAATATTCAGTGACTTGTACTGGTTTCCTCATAAAATAGAAGACAAATTCACTTAAAAGTGTAATCAACAATCATTTAACAGTTTTGTTATGCCAACACAAAACACGGCTAATTTGAGTTACCTCCAAAATCACTAACACAGCATGATCAGTAACCGAAGCATATTTTAACTAAGCCATTAAAAAAAAAAAAAAAAGTGAGTGTTTCACTACCCCTGAGACCACTAGTTAACTGTGGTTCATACTTTTAAAAAATTGTGAGTACACCCACACAAGAAAGCAAACTAACAAGCTTTTTAAAAAATCTGGTATCACATTGCAAACTCGCCCAGGAAAAAGGAGTCACTTAATTTACCATTAACAGGTCACATGGACTATACTTCTCATAGATTGAGAAACTCAGTATTAAAAACTTGACTTTATGCATGAAAAGATCTAGGAAATATGTAAGAACCAAAATCAATTTTTAATCTAATATGCATCCAGTCCTACACACGGCACTAGTAATGTATATGGGGAAAAAGGGCAAATTCTTGGATTCTTTTGAAGGTTTCATTGGAGATGATCTCAAGTCCGGTGTCCATACATTCAAAAATGTTGGTTTTCCAGGTACTTTACTGTTCTCTTAAACCTGGAGAAGCCATTATGGCTTATTCCCTTAGAAGTGACGTAAGAAATGTTGTAGAAAGCATCAAAGATACAGAGAACTGGACACATCTAGTTAATTATTATGACAATCAATGGTTTTAAGTCATCTCTATGAATATGTAAGGTTGTCTAAGGCTAAAAAAAAAATCAACTTGAAAGTCATTTAGGAATTCAGAAGCTCTGACAAACTGTTTATTCACAGCTGGCTTTCAGTGATATGCCTACTAAAGCTATTACTTTGAGAGTATAGAATCAGAAGTAATTATTTTGAAAACAGAGCAAAAGAACAGTATTTCTTACCTTATGGAGCAGTAGGCTACTAATTTTTCATTTGCAATTTGAATCCAAACTAGCTTTAACAGTATGACATCTACCTTTAAGGAGTAATTTTTTAAGTAAAAGATGAAATGAAAAAAATTCACTCGTTGGGAAATTGTATAGCTGGGTTGATATTTCTCAATGAAATGCTTAAATTACAGAATTAACAAAAGTCAGAACATCTTCGGAAGGCATGCATTTCACTTGCAGTTTAGAGAAAAACCTTAAGTCAATAAACCATGTCCAAACTACGTATTAAAATGTTTATAAAAAAAATCAAGCTTTAACATTTATTTTATATCTAGCTTTCCACATCTGTGTGCAGACAAGGAGTAAGATTGCACATAAATGTAAGCAGTGCAAAAATGTGGAAGTGGAGAAGAGTCACAGATGTGCTAGAAATCAAATACAAGATTTTAAGAAAGCAATGGACAAATCAAAATAACTAGGAAAAAAGTGAAACTATAGGGTCAGAATTAGGAAGGGTGAAGAATGATAATGCCCTTGTTACTACAGAAGTTAGTGGCACAGATAGCACTTGTCAAACAAAAAATAATCCAATAGCATTGACTTTTATTCATTCATGTTAAGTCACCTGAAATGATATTTGTAGCATTTAAATGCTCATTAATGTAAATGGCTGAACAAATCCATTTCAATGGATATTCAATATCCCACATAGTTAAGTCACTTCAACACAGCCTCATGACAACTCCCACACCAAAACAGTACTTTATTTTGTAAATTTTGACCCATTATTACTCCCATGTTATGGGTTTTTCAACTGTCAAGTGTACAAGGTGAAGAAAAAAATTTAGTTAGATGGGGGTTGCACCTGGAAAATAAATTTCTTCAACTCCATATACATGTTTCAAAACTGCTGGGTCCCAAGTCCATCTATGAACTCCACGGCTGCCAGTATCACGGGCAGCATACTAAAGCTACACTATCCGAATAGCTTATTAATTCTGCATAAATCAGGTCAATCAATGTGTCAACCTGTAACAGACTGTGCACTTTTAACTGAACATGGCAAAATATTCACTCTTTTGAACTTTACATCATCATTTGATGTCAAACAATGAAGCAAATCCCAACAGTATATACAAAAACAGCTTTGCATTTACAAAAGATTGTTTCCCATACTGATTAATTCAGGCAGCTAACTCATTGGTTTATGCAACTTTATTGAAGAAAAATAAATCAATTACTAGCAGAGCTATTAGTTGATCACTCATCCATTGACAACTTGCATCATTTATTCAGTGCTATATTAAACAGTGTATTGGAAGATAGATTAACTAATAGCTCCAAGCCTCCTAACAATTTAAATGAGAATTACAAAATGTTTGAGACCCTATTTTGGAATACAAAGGGTGTTTGACTTCCAATTTCCATTCTCTGTAGAACAAGAACAGGTCATTCCTTTATTGACATGCATAAAATACATCACATTTTCTGTTCTGCTGATGCTATAAATTCAATACCAATTCTCCAGCCACATCAGTTATGAGCATAAAGTATATCATGTAACCTCAAATCTCTAACAGTGGAAGGCTTAAAAAAAGACTGGATGCTAGAATAATGCTGCTTCCTTTGATGTGACAACTGAGCATCCATCTCCCTCCCCCTCAGATGATTTCTTCAGCATGTTAGAGCAGTGAGGAATGGTTTTAGTCTCATAACCAAGTTAGAGTGAAGACATTGGCCACATAATACACATGCTCCATTTTTAAAAAAATTCTGAATCTTGGGCAACTGTTCTCTTGTAACTACTTTACAGTTTCTAAAAGCAGTTATTGTCCAAAGCTGGAAGAACTTAAGTCTTCTCAGATGAGCATGTGAATGAATGGAGGGAGGTAAACAAAAAATAAAATTAAAAAAGATGAGGTCTGACAGGGGAGCAGCCGGATAAGAAAATCAAAAAAGGAACAGTAATTTAAAGTTTATTCCAGCTATAATGCAGGTTATTCTGACTTTAAGGTAGCATCACATGGCATACTTCTGAGTCCATTCCCGAGATATTCTGTTGTACCTGTAAATAAAGAAGATGTTACTTAAAAAGTTAAAAATGAATTCTTAATACTTTAAAGGAAAGATTGCTATTTTACCTCCAGACTCATCATGGAGTCATCTCTCATGGTTATGATTAGAATTAAGCCAACGGAGAGAAAAAGCATTGGTACTCAAAGCAATGTGGGAAATGGAAACCTTATGCTTCCAATACAATAAAAATATTTTAGTAAACACAGTAAGGTGGCATTGATATTGGGGAGGCTAACAAAAATCAAAGACCTTTTCTCTCCCCTACCACCTAGTTAAATGTTCTATTTGAAATTCTAAAATTAGTATCCATTCCAACAAATTTTAACATTAAAAAAAGTATTTTACAGTTCATCATGTACTTATGTCTGAGTACAACACAGATTCTGAACATCTATAGAAATTTCCATCAAAGCTGGAACCAAACAATTTTATGTGAAACCTAGACCTTGAGAAATTACTAGAGCCTGGGTAATACCAGAAAATACCTTTGAGATTTAAGTACAGGTAGAAGATTAGACACTGGGGAGGGTGAAAAAAGCAATTTTCAAGAGGGAGGTGGGTGGGACTGGTACATATGTGTTAATTGGAACACTATGTGTTACTTTTAGAAAGTGTGGTGATTGGAGCTAACAAGCCCCACTTGAGACCTAATAAATGGGAATCTCTACTAGGAGTACAACTTGGGGGCATCTGTTTAAAAGATCAACAGATAATTCACACAAGAGCAACGTTATTACTGAGGACTTCTCTAATATTGACAAATGCTATCAACTTCTCCCTGTATTATATCCATGCCATAGGCTACTTACCAAAATAATAACTAAGATACATCAAGGGGCACAAGAGAACTTTTAGATTTGTGTTTCTAGTTTAAAGTTTGTAAAATATTAACTAGCTTCATTTCAAACCAAGAACTAAACATGGTTCAACCATTTTTCTAAACTTTGGCATACAGAAGTTCTTTCTACCATTCATGGTTACCTCATTTAAGGACACCCTCTCAAAAAGCCAGCACTTTAAAACAAAGGTTTCATTTAGCATACAAGGAGCCACAAAGTATAGTTGATATTAATACATGCTTGTCAGTAATGAACATTTAGTTTAGATGCTTAGAAGCTTTATTAAAAGTGTTTTCCCCTTATATTATTATTTCTTGGCCAAATTTGAACTGAATCACCACATTCCATATAGTACTGGTATAAAGGTTAAATTGTGCCAAATTTAAAATGTAAGTACCATAGTAGTTTGAAAAAGATACTACTTAAACTTTAATTTCTTACTAGTGCTATATAGAACTGTTTTGCCATGCAAAAATACTCTCAAGCAATAATGACTACTGGGTATACTTTCACGCTAAACAGAGATCAAGCAGTTAACTGTACAGTTTTCAAAAAACTGTAAATGTTACCTTTTGTTAGTTAATAAAGTGCCTTAAAACATGCAGCACTCAAGTGCTGGCAGTACCATGAATAAGCGCACCATAGAGTGCAGATCCTCTTACCCTACAACATAGCGTATTTCTCTGTCCACTCTCTTGCTAACCTATTGTACCTAATTGAACAAGTATACTTAGCATTAATTATAACATACAACGAAGTTATAATGGTGAAGTCGTACATAAAGGTAATTCAAATATTTGAGAAATTTAGACAAATTTTTATAACAGTACCAGTGTTTCAAAAACATGATTGGGGTAAAGAAAACTTTGCTTTCTTCCCAAAAACTTAGTGACAAAGCACTGAACATGTTAGAAAAATAGAACGTTTTAGAGGAGCTATTCACTGTCACATAAACTTAAAAAAAAAAAAAAAATCCCATTTCAAAAACTACCTTTCTGTACATTTTAACTACTATCTTACCAGAAATACATCATCAAATCTTCTTGGCATTGCCAAAACTTACAAGAGTATAAGCCTAGCTCATTAAGATAAATCACTCTTTATATTATTTCCTTAAATTACTACATACTTACTTATCTCTGTCTGTTTTATAGATCCGTGCAATCTCTGGCACTAGGGGGTCATCTGGGTTTGGATCACATAGCAGTGAACAAATGGATAAAAGAACTGCAAATAAAAACAAAAACAAAAACAAAGTCTGTTACCCAGCATCAGGAATTTGGATAAATAAAAGTATATTTAAAAACGTCAATCCTCAGGGCGCCTGGGTGGCTCAGTCGTTAAGTGTCTGCCTTCAGTTCAGGTCATGATCCCAGGGTGCTGGGATTGGGCCCCACATCGGGCTCCCCCCTGCTCCCCCCCGTCTCTAATAAATAAATAAATAAAATCTTAAAAAAAAAAGCAAGCCACTGGTTTCTCAAATTTATTTTTATTTTATTTTTTTTTAAAGATTTTATTTATTTATTTGACAGAGAGAGAGAGCACGAGAGCAGGAACACAAGCGGAGGGAGTGGAAGAGGGAGAAGCAGGCTTCCTGCCAAGCAGGGAGCCTGATATGGGACTCGATCCCAGGACCCTGGGATCATGACCTGAGCCGAAGGCAGACGCTTAACGACTGAGCCACCCAGGCACCCGGTTTCTCAAATTTAAAAAACAAAAAAAAAACGTCAATCCTCAAAAGATTTTTAGTTTGTACCTTAATGTCAGTGAGACAAGTCCATATAGAGATTTTGCTTCATAGGAGACAAACTGGTAAATAAGGAATGCTAGAAATAGAGCTTTGTACTGTGCCAAACTCAGGAGTTCTGGGATATTCAAATGATGCTGTATTAGTTTATTAATAATCATTTTTAAAAAGTGACATTAGAATTTAAGTAACTGGAGTTCCTTGGTACTTTGAGGGGGGAAATCTAGCAAAGAATATGCAGGGAACACCTGTGCAATGTTATTCTCAGTTGTTATGGCATAATGAAAAATCCATTCTAGGGGAGCCAGCTGGCTCAGTCAGGAGAGCATGTGACTCTTGATCTTGGGGGTTGTGGGTTCAAGTCCCATGTTGACAGTAGCAATTACTTAAATATTTAAAAAGACAAATCCATTCTCTGCCCTACCCTCGGGGGAGTTTCACAAAAACTCCAACTGCTCCATTGTGTTTTGTCTCCTTGAATTTATAAACTAAAAGTACTGGTTAAATGAATGTGGAGATTTAGCTCTATTACTAAGTGAGCCTTCTCAACTCTAGTTCTTACCCTGACCTGTTCAATATATGAACTTGGAAGATACCAAGCATCACAGAGCATGTATCTAATTCATTTTGTATGCCTGTTATGTGCCAGACACCGCAAAGTGTTATAAAATTTTAACATATAAAAGCTTAGAGCAGTTATGAAAATCCTCAAAGATAACATTACCATAAAAAGACAGTACTAATGTAATATATATTACAGCAAATATAATTTTAAACCCAAAAGGCAGGAGGACACACATAAAAATTCAACCCACATTTACAGAAACATAGTGATGATTCCCAACAGTGATAAACTTGGAACCTACTATTAGGATGTTCTTGATACTGCATTTGTATACTATCTGTATACATGCAGATCTGTAATACATGGTGTTAAGAGAGCTTGATTTGCAAGGAAACTGGAATGTATCCCAAGAAGGTGAAAAACAATTATGTCACACATGAAATTATAGCAGCATTCACCAAAACTGATTTTTTTCTTCTCCAAGAGTGATTTCAAATTCATTGTGTACAAACATGTATCTGAAACACTGTCTTAATTAGCAACATTAAAAAAAAACCTCATTTTTTGTACCTAAGGGATGCTAAATCAACACCAAAACCCAAAATTTACTGGAAGGCAAACTTCCTTTCCATTATGTAGTTTTGTGATAGGTCATTTTTTGTGTGTACGTGTGTGTGTGTGTGTGTGTGTGGGGGGGGTGACAAAAGCCACCATAGTCATTCAAAATGGAGAAAGATGGAGGCACTCCATCTCTATCTGGGATATTCATGTGGAGACTAGACAACCTATTAGAGATGTCACATAATGGACCCTTATTAAAAGTAGAAGACCAAAATTAATCTAGAGACATTTCCAAGACTCTAATAATTTTAGCTTATTACTAGGTAGGAACAACCTATTAAACACAACACCTATTTAAAAGGCTTTTTATCTAAAAAAAATACTGTAATAAACACAAGAAAGCAAAATCAGAATCTTCCTATAATGGAAACCAAGATTTAAAAGCTCTATTAAACTTTAGATCTACCATTTTATACAATGCAGAAGTTGAGATGTGAGTGGGCCTAGAATTGAAAATACTACAGAAATCTATTTAAGAAACTTTACTATATTTGCAAATAATGCCTACACCCTAATTTGAATTTTAACTTTTTCCCACAAAATCTTTAATCAATACCACTAAAAGCATAAAATGTAACTTTTTTCCTTCCCCACCTCTTACCAAAACATTGGCATAAGTAGGCCCCAAAATGAAACTTATTTTTTTTTAAAGATTTTATTCATTTATTTGACAGAGAACGGGAGCACAAGCACACAAGCAGGGGGAACAGCAGAGGGAGAGAGAAGCAGGCTCTCTGCCAAGCAAGGAGACTGACGCGGGGCTCGATCGCAGGACCCCGGGACCACAATCCAAGCCCAAGGCAGACACCCAACCGACTGAGCCACCCAGGCGCCCCAATCAAACTCCTTTAAGTAGAAAGTCAGAGCAGCTCAAGACTCTAAAAATACTTTACCTTTAGAAATAGTTAAAGCAGGAGACCACTGTGATCTTAGAATATCGAGACAAATGCTGCCATTACTGTTAATATTTGGATGATAAATTCTTGTTGTAAATGCAACCTAAAATAAATAAATAAAAACTTTTAGGTATTTTTCCCCAAGTAAAAATAAACATCCTAATCTGAAATAGAAGACTTTTAAGCAAGGCTTACAATACTGCGTGTTCACACACATGCACATGCGTGTGCACACACACACACATTCTCACACTCTCAAATGGCTACTTATACACATTAAATGACTAAAAATTACAGAAACAAGTTTGTATATTTTGATCAAGATCTTTCAGGGGCCACCTCTCTTTAATTAAAATGGAAAATGTAACTTTGTGGCAAAAATTTTACTATCAATGATATGGATGGGATATTCTGAAGGTTAACTTTGGCTCTTCAGTATCAAAAACAGCATTGTGAACAGTAATCAACATTCATTAAAAAATAAAGGAACTTCAGAATGTAAACCAAATTTATAGACCAACTCACTTAAGGTATCAAGTTACAAAGGTATGTGTTTTAGTCTGCATTTCCACTGTACATAAAATACAAATTTGATTGCAAAAGTGTTTCATCTAAAGTAACTATTATACTGCACCTATAACAGGATTGCAAAGATGGCTGAAGTGCCAACGTTGTTATTTTCTATTGTTATTCATACAGGTTGGCTTTATGTTAATTGCTCTGAAGAGTCAAGGGCCTTATGCTTTTAATAACTGTACACCAGGCACCTCAGTGCATTAAGCAACCCTAAGTTTTGATAGTTTATTATTATATATGCAAATGCAAACCCCTGAAAGACAGCCCATGTGAACCCCAACAAACGTAGCATAGGCTGCAACAATATGGGCAAATGCACAGGAAACTAATACTTGAAGCCTACTATTGCAAAGGTTAATAATACAAATCTGTATGAGCATAATAAACGGTGGAAAAAGCTTCCACTTAATCTATCAGTCTTGCAACATTAAGGATAAGTCAGTACTTATCTCCATTTACAAAGTTCAAATCCAGGTCTAACTGCTCTCTTAATTAAAGGTTAAAAGTCAGCATTCTGTACTGGTGACTCAATACGTATATATTTAGCCTTAATTATTCTTATTCACTCCATATACACACACCCCCAATTTAGCCTTATTTATGTAGAACCTTGATTTCTAAGAATATTCTACTCCTCTGAAATAATGCACAGATCTTATTTACTAATGGATTTGGGGGGCAAATACTTGCCTTAGGTGGTTTGAAGGGGTAGTCTGTAGGAAAATGAATTGTCAAAAAGAATACACCGCCTTGATATGGGCTGTCATTCTGTGAAAAGAAAAATTTGCTTAACTCTGATATTTACAATATTACTCCTAAATAATTCATGCAACATTTCTATTTTCTAAGCGTTTCTTTAACATGAGCCAACATTACCTGTTTATGCTGCAAGAGTCTGAATTATTCCACAATTCAGTTCATGTTACTAAAAACTACACGATCAAAATTTACTATAGAACGATGAACCCTTATTTACTTAGACCCCATTTTATGTAAGTCACCAAAGAACTGAAAAATTAACCAGAAACCAAATGTTCTAGATGCTGATTTTCACAAAGTATACTTGGCAGTAAAGTCTATATATAGTATTGTATATCAAACCTGAATCTGAAAATAAGGTCTTATATTTATTTCCTCTAATGATAGCCATATACACACATATGGGCTTTGTATCTCAACACACCACCCTGGTCACTTTGGCAAACCAAAATGTTAGCTATTGCAGGTTAACCCGTAACTACCTTCAACAGGAGAAGCAAAACAGAAACAAAATAGGTTTTAAATTAAGTTTAATTCCCAACTGGCTCCTCAAAATTTTCATTCTTTAAAATGTTTATTCATTTAAGTAATCTCTACACCCAACGTGGGACTGAAACTCATGATCCTGAGATTGAGAGTCACATGTTCTTCCAACTGAATTAGCCAGGCACCCCTCAAAATTCTCATTTAAAAACATGAAGGTTTTTGTTTTTTAAGATTAGAGAGTATGTGTGTGCACGCGCACGTGTGCAGGACAGAGGGCCAGAGAGTCTCAAGCAGACTCTGCTAAGCATGGAGCCTGACTTGGGGCTTGATCCCAGGACCCTGAGATCACTACCTGAGCTGAAACCAAGAGTTGGACGCTCAACCTACTGTGTCATCCAGGCGCCCCCAAAAGCATGGAAGATTTTTTTTCAAAAGCATACTGAATTCGCCACATCAATACACAGGATTACTAGATTTGGAAAACAATGTGCAACATTTGCTCTTCCACTTCAACAGAAAACAGAAACTTTCAAGCTATAGCATCACTCTTCCTCCTTTGTTGTTTTGCTTATTATAATCTGAGTACGAAGAACTCTCTTAATAACATTTGGGAAACAATTCTTGGTAGAATTTTACATTTAATTTAACCAATAGCAGGAAAAAGAGATCACTGTATTCCCATTTTATAGAAAAATAAAAATGGGACTTGAAGAAATAATTTAGGTGTACAAGTGGTATAAGAACCAAGACTGAAACCCAGGTCTTATGAAGAACACTGGTCAAAATGGATCAGAGTGAGGACAAAAGACAGTGACCTCGTCAAAAACTTTAAGGTAAAAGCTGAAAACACGAAAACTGCTTAACTACTTCTGATATGCAAAGAAGCCACCTGGTGATGTCTTCGACAATTTACAGTAACCCAGTTATTACCAACATCCATTCCTCTCCATTAGAGAGAGTATGTGCACAGTGCTAATTATAAGCCTTTTACTATGCCCATTCTGGATGTCAGGAAAGTAAAAACTTTTCCAGATCTGACACTTTAATACAGCTCATTTAATTCCCAGCCCCCTGTGAAATAGTTAAACAACAGCTGAATTAATCTAACTCAGTTCTTGGGATGCCCAGGTGGCTCAGTCTGTTAAGTGTCTGCCTTCGGCTCAGGTCATGATCCTGGAATCCCAGGATCGAGCCCTACATCGGGCTCCCTGCTCATCAGAGAGTCTGCTTCTGCCTCTGCCCCTCACCCTGCTCGTGCTCCCTCTAATAGATAAATAAAATCTTAAAAAAAAAAATCTAACTCTGTTCTGTAGATCAGGTATATGTAAGGGACATGGAGAAGAATTTCTTATCCTGATGGGCAAACATTCTGGTGAAGAAGAGACGTGCAATAAAATGTTGCAAATATTATGAAAAATGAACAGGGCATACCTGCAACTTGAAGGAAAAATGTCAATTTACTGATGAAGAATGAAGTTCAAAGAAACACACAACTAGTATAATGAAGAGCTACAATTTGTGTCCTTACTCCAAAGTCCTTTCTTTTCATATTGCCTACAAAATTTTAATTCAAAAAACTAAGACTGCAAAGCAGCATATAAAAAGTATAGAAAAAAATCGAAGCACAGAATACGATCTGAATTAAATAACATACCTTTGTTAACAGCTACATTAACTGGGAACAGATGCTTCAAATGGCATAATTTTACAAAATAGACTAATATGGAAAATGTTTATACAGTGTATAGTTCATTATAACTATTGAGGGTACTCCTACTAAACAGTAAAAATTTTTATAAAACCATATTACCAAAGTTCTAAGTTTTTATTCCAAGTTTCATACAATCACAAGTACTGTATCTCACTGCTTTTGAATAAAGGCAGTCTAATGCTAAGATTTAGGCAAAGCCAAATTTTTCACTTATTCAAAAAAAAAAAAAACTTAGGGATGAAAATATTTCAGTGTTATAATTTAACACTACAGTTCCATCAACACAAAGAGGAAAAACTGGTAAAACCACAAGATCCAGAGATAACCAAAGTATGCTATCTAAAAAACTGAAGCTCTGTATCAAATATATTATAAATTAAAAGCAAACAGAAAATAACGAAAACAAAGAAGAATACTTTGATCAGTAAACTGACCTAAGTCTTAGAAATTCAGAATTTATTCTGGATCTCTTTAGACACCTTCTACACCCTGGTTTTAACTCCAATTTGCAGTCAGAAGTTGCTCCTTCTTAGTGTTTGTACTCCTCCCCTAGGGCAACCATTAAGTGCTGGTATTCCCCCCCAGATCCATCTTCTGCTTCTATCTCTTTTTTTTTTTTTTTTAAGATTTTATTTATTTGAGAGAGAGAGAGAATGAGAGATAGAAAGCACAAGAGGGAAGAGGGTCAGAGGGAGAAGCAGACTCCCTGCTGGGCAGGAAGCCCGATGTGGGGCTCGATCCCGGGACTCCAGGATCATGACCTGAGCCAAGGGCAGTCGCTTAACCAACTGAGCCACCCAGGCGCCCCTGCTTCTATCTCCTGACCCATACTTGAATTTTTCTCTAGTATAGTTATTAATTCCAGGACATATATATTCAAATGCCTATAAATATTTATCCTTGGATGTCTCATGTGTCCAAAACTCAAACCACAAACCAGGAACAGATCACTGATCAGAGTAGTTATTAAAGATCCTTAAAAATCTCTTCAACTAGCTTCCTCTCCTTTATGCTCACTGCCACTACTCCATTCAAGATCTTACTATCTTTTGTTTATATTATGGCAATGGCTTACTTCTGGTATTCCTGCCTTCACTGTTTTTTTCTTCTAATTTAATCCCTTACCCTAATGCTGCTGTTGTCCTAAAACACAAGTTACATCCCTGCTTGAAATCTAGCACAGCTTTCAAGGTAAAAGTACAAACTCCTAAGAACACAAGGTGCTTTATGATCTCCTTCCCACCAATGTAGCTGGTCTCATCTTCCACCTCTTCTCCTGAATATGCCCCTCCTTACTGCACTTAAAATATTTCACATCTCCTTTTTCTCCTAGTATTTATTTCTTCCACTTGAAATATTCTTATCTATATCCTTATCTTTTTCATCTCTAGGACCATACCTACACTGTAGGATCCGTATCAAGCTTAAATGTCTTTAAAAAGATAATATAGCCTTACCTTTATTTAGCTCAATATGCCTGTTGCCCTTCTTTCATACCTTTCTATACAACACAGTTATTACTACCCAACATACTTATAGAACTTATTTTTATTTTCCTCTTCCTCTAGACTACAAAGTTCCTTAAAAATGTACTGAAGGGAAGAGTTGTCATGCATCATTAGCCTCTGCAAGAACTGAATACACTTAAAGTAAGTTGAAAAATAACCCTTATGGACCAATAAGACAGTACCTATGAACCAATTATTTGACCAGATGGTTTTTGCAGCTGATTTTGCTCAGGCTGCCAAAGATTACGTTATATTACCCAAAAATGGTACTTTCTTCCATGACTGTATCAAAGATTAGGTGGAAGTCAGTGTGGTTCTCCAAATAACTTCAAAACATCTTTCTGTCAGCTCCATTTCCAATTAAAGAAAAATCAAGTGTATAAATATCAGATGAGTTAATTTCTCCTAACTGCATCAATTGTTAATGGGAACTACCCTTAATACAAAAAACAAAAACATAAAAACAACCAAGTTTAAAAAACCACATAGCCAGCATTGCTGTCAATTCCTTTAAGGGTTTAGTTTTTATTAGTATTTGCGCTTCCAAAGTATCCTACCTTCGAAAAGAATCAGCCAACTTAGTTATTAGAAAGAAGCATTTTGCCTCATAAATTTAATGATCAAGAACATTTCCAGACTATAGAACGCTAAAATTCAATAATTAACTGTATTAAAACTTAAATTAGATGCTCCATTCCTTCGTTAGGAGCCTTTAGTTATGTGGCACTGCCAATCACTTTTACTGACCTAAGAAGTACTCCAAAGCAAAAGTACTTTTGTCACCATTTATCCTTTCAGCAAATCTGCAAATACATGGATTGTTATGCCACCAATGGCCCTATGTTTTAGCTCATTCAATCTGCATGTCACATACTAACAAAATAAAGCAATTATTTTTCTAATCGAACTGTGATGTTTTATCACAAAAATGTAATCAAAAGCCAAAATAAGAATGAGTTATTTCATTGATGACTCTACAAGTAAGGATAACTATTAACTATTTGCAAATTGGCATCTAAACAAGTGCTTATTTATAGTTTTTGCTTTTGTTAATCAAGGAATATTTAAATAGTTCTGATAATCAAGTATTTGTTTTTAAAAGCAGAGCTATCATTAAATACACATTAAAAGGTTGCTGAAAAACATTTACAGGGAACAGCCACAATCTGAAATAGGCATAAACAAGTGAAAAATGTTTTCTGAAAATAAAAGCAAATCAGGTGAACAGCTACAGAAAGGTCAGGATAAGCAATCTTCTTTTATTCTCTGGAAAATTACTAGTATAAACTACTCACACTTCACTTTCATTTACTCTAAGTATATTCCTTACCTTTCAGAAAGACAATTCAATAAACAGTGAGGTCTCTAAGTCCAGCAGAAAATTATCACACTGGCTGCAAAGAGTTGGTTTATTATACACACCATAGAAGTCTTGATTACCAACTCTTTAGTGCTTTATTAATACTGACAACTAATTTTTATAATGAGGTCATCTTAAAGCACCATCTGGATCAAAGATGAGCTTTTATTTGGTAGAAATGTTAATGTATTTTACGGAGCACTCTGCTTTGAAAACTGGTGATCTATAATGAGAAAATTCTAGGAATTACAAATGCAAGTGCCTACAGAATCTAGGTAGGCACAATGAAGTGGATAGGAATAGTGTTGAGACACAAACTCCATATAAAAAAGGGAGGTAGCTGCTACTCCATCCCAAGCCATTACTGCTGTGGAATGAAGGTCTAGTCTGGCTTTTTTTGCGAAGATTGCCAACTTTCAAAATGTTCTGTGGACCAAACTGGGAAAAAGTCACACTAAGTTAACTATGTATTTTAAATAAATCACGATTTTGTTACCAAATATTTTAAAGCAAAATAGAATTTACAACAGTAAAAACAGTCCTTGAGGTAACTGGAAGTGAACAATTCTGACTTTGAGGTTTCTTAAATTAGGATAATACAGATAGATTTCAAATTAAGAAGGTAAATATCCCCCACTACCGCCACCACCACCACGACCACCACCAAGTTTAACTTAAGTTGATTCACAATCTCCTTACCTTTAGGTCCTAACATTTCATAATTACTCTAACACAATCACCCCTGCTATGATTTCCCAGAAAATTTCTCCCACTAAGCACTTCATTTATGTATCACTTGCTTCCCAACTTATCACACTTAAAGTATCCTGTCTCTCCCAGTAGATTTTAAGTTCCCTAAAGAATGAAAGGGACCATGTCTATCCTTAATGGCTGGCACACAGTGGGGGATCACATTGATTGAGATAGAAAAAAAAAATTACTGTTATCAAAATCAGAACTACAGAATAAAAACTAACTTTTCCAAGAGCATTTCTTCTATTAGAATGACAGACATCTATCTATTGACCATTACCTCACCAAGTACATTACTGACATTACGTTGAGATTAAACCACCAAGGGGGGGCGTGCAGATTAAGACATACATATAACTTATGAATAGAAATCCTAAAGTGCCTTCCAAGTAAAAAAAAAATATTAAGTATTGTGCAAGATACAGTCTTACCCCAGGTTGTTTTACTGCGCTCTAATTCTGTGAAATTCTTAGATGGTATCCATAATTCTGAATATTCAATTATCCAGCATATACAGTTTCTTATCTACCCAGGATAGAAAGGAATTTTGCTGTATTCAAAATATCACTTTCTACCTAAAAATATTCAAATTTTGTAAAAAACTAAGGTTCTATAAAGAATCAAGTATCAAAATACAACAACAAAAACTTAGATTTTCAGCAACAGGAATAAGATCTTTGAGTAACACCATGGTAGAGTCAATAAATTAATTGGCTCTATAAGTAAAGGGAAGCTCTGTGACACAGCTTTACATTACTATGAAAGAAAAACTAGGATAAAGTGAAAAAATATTTGACAGGTCAGAGATGCTATATTCCAGAACCTGAATACAGGGACAGACACATAGCACATGTAACAAATGACTAATTCATTAAATTGTTATGTCTTTCAAAAACAGTACAACTATGGCAATTCCAAAACAGTACTACAATGTAATAAAATGTATGTTAAATACAACTAGGTCAATGCTGAATTTTTAATTAAAAGCAAATGTTTTAATTCTTAATACTTACAGGTCCCATAATTGTGGCTTGCCAATGAAACACTAGGGAAAAACAAAACAAAACTGTTATCTAAAAATGTACAAGCTTTTTTGAAATTAGCCATTAAAATCAACTTGAGAGTTACTTACTATCATCCCCAACTGGACCTGCAGAACATTGTGCTGGAGGGTCACGGGCCAAATCACTAAGTTCCTATACCAAAACAGAAAACGATGGGTCATGTAACCATAATAAAAAAACGTAAGCAAGCAAAGAATTTTCACCCCATTCTTTAAGGAACATACAATCAGAGTTCACATTAATAAATTCTAGGAAAGAAAGCCTAAGTAGCCATAGTCCAGATCTTGGGACAGCAGGCATAGATAGGAAAATTTTTGTTACACCAACAAAAGGTGTCCAAATAAAAGTTATCAGATACTTTCATGGCTTAAGAACTCAGACAAAGCAGTTCTCAATATTCATGCTGTGTGCTGAACTTCTGGACATCTCAGAGGCCCTCCCCGTTTCTATTATCTTAAATCCTGTTATTTCTGAACCATACTAACCGCAGACCTCGTTTTCCACTTGAAAAATCTCTCATGGGGCTAGGTAGGTATCCTTTTTGGTTTGATCTTATTCCTGCAACTCAACCATGTCTTTTATACAATGTTGAGTAAAATTACAACTCTGGAAGAACCTGAAGTTTGCTTGTTGTGAAACATGCAGTTTCCAAAATTCCATCTGACCTTGTATTTACAAATATGTACTTGGCTCTTCCATGACTTGTACGTTAACAAATATGGATAATGTAGTAAGAAAATACAGCGGTTTCTTTACTTTTTTTTTTAATTTAAGAGGATATAACTTTATCTGTATACCTATATACAAATCTCTGCAGGGATTTACAAACCCATGAGGTAATAGTGGGCTTCTAAGAAAGACAGGGAATATACAATACTGCAGGAAGATAACTAGAGCAAACATTTGCCTCTATCATATGGTCAAAATGCACTTTAGGAAATAGCCGATTGTTCAGGAGTCATTAATCCAAATTCACTCCATTAAAACAACAACAACAAAAACCAATGCAGAAGAGTTGTCCTTGTGGTAATCATTTCACAAAATATATAACATTATGTAGTATATCTAAAACTGAAAACATTACAGGTCTATTATATTTCAATTAAAACTGGGGTGGGGGGAGGTTGCTCTGATACACTCTAACTTGCTTCTGAAAACTCATACCACATCTGCTTTTAATATTATCAAAACAGCCAGAGATCCCAGGATTCACAATCTTAGGATAATGGAAGATCAGGTCATTTCTGCTTCCCTTAGTAAATAAACCTTCATATGTTCAGCACATTTTAAAATGGGAGAAAATTCATTCCAACTACTTTTGATCCTGATCAGAATTACAGAAACTCTTGAATGGAAGTTAAACAAATGGTTAAAAGAAATGGTTTTTAGCTTAAAAATAAAAACAAACACCCTCACAAAATATCAAATGATTTTGAACCAAGTTTTGAAAACTATACTTTGAATAAAAATAGAAATGTACTTGCAACCTGAATTGACTATCCACTATCAAGCAAATTATTTTTTCATAGGCCAGATAAGTTTTTTTTTTTTTATTTTTTTTAAGGATTTTATTTATTTATTTGAGAGAGACAGAGAAACAGCATGAGAGGGGAGAAGGTCAGAGGGAGAAGCAGGCTCCTCGCTGAGCCGGGAGCCCGATGTGGGATTCGATCCCAGGACCCCGGGATCATGACCTGAGCCGAAGGCAGTCGCTTAACCAACTGAGCCACCCAGGCGTCCTGGCCAGATAAGTTTTCAATCAGCCACTTTTGTTATAATGGGAATCCACTTTATCATCTCAAAGGAGTATTTTACTGTAGGTGAGAATCAAGTAGTCTAGTCTAACTGCTATGAACAGAATTCTCCCCTGTTCCAAGGCTTATATAAAAGTTCTGTTGAACTGGCCCACCAAAAAAACATACCAAAAGTTAACTTATGCAGTCGAATTCCCTCTCTCCTTCAGGAACATAAGGGTTCAAAAGAAAAAAAAAAAAACAAAACAACACCCACCCCCAACACAACTTACCTGTTCCAAACCACCCTCTCCCTCTTTTTCCACAAAGATTTACCTCCTAGTTTCTTACAGTGATCTATCCCAAATTATGTACTTATTTGTTTAAATGCCTGAAAAAAAAATCTAGCAGTTATTTTTAAATAAAAACCAATCTAATGATAGGTTGATCTAACAAAATACCCAAGTGACCTTGAAACAACTTCATTATAAATACAATTGCAAGAATCTATAAAGCTGATCTAGGACATACCAACATCCATTTGAAAATTACATTTTAATTATGAAGAATGTAAGAAAATATTTCTTATAGAAAAACAAGTTTCTAAACAAAATATTTATAAATCATTAAGCCTTTATATGCCAGCATTATTACTCTAGAGTGAAGGTCTAATTTCAGCTTTTCCCTCCCATAATTTCAGGATCTTATTCTCAAATAATTTCTAAGTGCCTTATTTTTCAAGTTTTCCATGACCAAGACACCTCTGAAGTAATCAACCAAAGATCTAAAATTAGGCCAATTACCTTACGTACTAAAATCTACGTTAAATGCAACACTGAGAAAAAAATGACCAAAGTTATTTTAAGGATCAAAACAGGTCTTTCAAATCATGTACCAGCACTCACCTCTAAGAAAACAAGTAATTCTCATGACATTATTATGACCACAGCATAAGCAAATGAGATTACACAATAGTATCTTAGCAAGGAAAAAATCTGAGAAAGCATAGTAACAAGTCATCTTAAGACGCTCTTCTATATATAAGACATTTTGTCTACTCAGTAAGTATCTTAACCTGCTTTCATGAAAACACTTTTCCTTTACTCCAAACGTGATTGTAGTTAATGATGTTTGGTTAATGGTAGCTGACAATCACCCATTACTCAGACAAGGCTAATCACAGAACTTTGTTCCTTCAGCCTCTGATTAGCTCAAAGGGTTGGAAAGTAACTTAAGCCAGGACCTGACCTAATGAAGTCCATCCATCTCTGCCTGGTTTTTCAAATTAAAGCCAGAACACTTCTTCCTTCTCTAAATCAGGAGCTGTAAGGATGTGACCTAGAGCTGTTGGAAGGCATGTGCCCTGAAATTACATGGTGAATCCAAAGAAAAAGAGACCACATTGAGCAGCAGAGATAGTAAGAGCTGACTTGGCATATACACATGCCATTTTAGTCCCTGAGGTTGTAGCTTGCTCTGGGTTCCTACAGCTGTTTCCTTTGATCGTTAACCACTCCAGTTTCCTTCTAATAAATCCAAGGCGGGAGAAAACCCCAAGAGTGAGGAGACCCATTCTAAGTAGAGAGCTACTGGGACCCATACAGACTATCCCACTAAAGCACAATGTAATGCTCAAGTCTTGTTTTTTGAAAAACATGTTAAGAAAGAAATCTAAATGAAGCAGTCTTAAAATTAAGCTAGAGGGAGCAGTCATGTGTCCTGTCTAGAAACTTTTAATCTGGGGCGCCTGGGTGGCTCAGTCGTTAATCATCTGCCTTTGGCTCGGGTCACGATCCCAGGGTCCTGGGATCAAGCCCTGCATCGGGCTCCTTGTTCTGTGGGAAGCCTGCTTCTCTCTCTTCCGCTCCCGCTTCCCCTGCTTGTGTTCCGTCTCTGGCTGTCTCTCTGTCAAATAAATAAAATCTTTGAAAAGAAAAAAAAAAAAAAAACTTTTAATCTAATCACAGAAACCAGAGATTAATTTAAATCCATTTCTAAAATGAAAAGTGCAATATCTGCTATTAAAGTTTCACCATCAAAACATTTATTCACTTATAGGAAGACTGCATTTTTGGTGTCCAGCAGGTTAGGCTTGAATAATACCAAGATAAAACATGAATGCCTTTCCCAACAGACTGAGCTAATATAAAGTAGGCACAATGCAGAAACAAAAAACTACATTTCAACAACTTAAGTGCTTAAAATAAAGGCATTCAAATGCTTCGTGAATCCTAAAAATGTAACCACTAACCTTGCCTAGGTTTAAAAACAGTGACAACTGAGCTAGGTCTTGATGGAGAGAGATAAGCATTCCAAATAGAGAAACTCAAAGTTGAGGGTGTGAAAGAACACTGTAAAAATTTGCTTATAGTCTGGCGTACCAGAAACACAACAGGGTACAGGTAAGGAAGCAGCGCATGTGGCCACAACGGTTAACCATGGCTGGATCTTTCATGAGCTTTGAATATGTCAAAGACTATCCTAAAGGCAATGGGAACCATGGATAGTTTTTTTTGTTTTTTTAAGATTTACTTACTTGTTTGAGACAGCGAGTGATAGAGTGAGGGAGCGTGGGTGGAGGAAGGGGTGCACAGAGGGCACCCTATATGGGGCTCAATCTCACAACCCATGAGATCATGACCTGAGCTGAAACCAAGAGTCAGATGCTCAACTAAGCCACCTAAGGGCCCCGAACCATGGATAGTTTTTAAGCAGGAATAAGACAAATCCAACGTGGTTATTATTTTTTTTAAATGTACTGGCCAATAGTACACTAGAAGAAATGCTTTTAATTTTTTAACTTATTAGGTCATAGCCTAAAAGTACCCATGAATCTGTGTACCCAGCCTGTTAAGTAAAGCTTAACATTTTTACTATACTACCTTCATATTAAAAAAAAATGTTGTGGATATAACTGAAGATCCCTCACATACTCCTCAAATTCCATTCCCTTTCCCCCACAGAAGGTAACAGATTATCCCAAATTTGGCTTCTCCACATTTTTATACACTACTAGATACGTATCTTTTTCACATATAGCATTGTTTTGCAGGTCTTCAAATTTTAAGAGAAAAAACTATGAACCTTTACATAGACCTATATCTATGTATCTCTCTCTCTATACATATATTGTCAGAACGTTGGCTCTTAAATTTTTTAACAAGGACTTCTAAGACTGAGTAACTACTGACCTTCTATCCCCCCAAATACACATAAGCCCGCACAAAATTTTAATTTGTGGGGTATCACAGACTCATCCCCATATTGTAGGAATCCCTAATACAAAGAACAGAGAAATAGGTTAACTACATTAGGAAGCTATAGCAGTAATTCAGGTGAGAGAAGAAAACGAGAACTAAGTCACTGAGGATGATAAAAGATCTTAAATAACAAGCATTT